CTACAGCTGATTTCTCAGAGAGATGCGTTGCGAGAGTGGAAACGCAAACAATCTCGCGTTTCAAATTTATATTGTCGTGGTGGAAACAAGATCACTCTTCAGATGCGTGCGCGTTCCATCGGAACGCCTTAAGTCGATCAAAAAAAAAAAAAAATCGGCACGATCTCGATGGCCTAAGTGTTTCAACTGGTACGATTATTGGCACTTTCACCGATCACAAATATGGAACGTGTTTTCGCAAAACTCATGGCGGCAATATGACATACGATATCCCATCGCCGACGTATACGGTCAATCAAGATACTTCTCTACGATGAATCGTTGATATCGAAAGCAGAAAGTGTTAAAAAAATCTCGTGTTTCTCGCGAGATGAATCAAGAGCGGATCCGATATATCGAGAGACGATCGCGAGAAAACACGATAAAGATGTCGGTTTCCAATGACGCAGCTCGTCTGCTACAAAGATCCGTGGCGCTTTTTCCCCGTTCGATCAAAATCGCTCGAGCACGAACGAAGCGATGATATGCGACGCGATTCGCGCGACAAAAAGACAACCTATCGGAATCGTTCTCGATGATCGTCATCGAGAAACCCGGTTTCCCGACGCCGTTAGAAACCCGGCGACGACGAGAATCAACAAACGGAGAAACTTCGGTAGCGCCAAATTGCGAAAGCGAGGCTAATATATATAATGGGAGCAAATCTCTCACTGGCTTTCAATGATAATTTTTTGGCGAATAGATGATTCTCAAAGACTTCGTTCTCCTATTCGCGGCAAATCCTTTGGTGCGAGTCTTAAAGGCAACACCCGAACCATCGCGAATTGTAAAGTACGTCTCTTTACGACCACCTTTTTACCGTCGTTATATAATAATTTAATGTAATAGAAAGTCAGATTGTCACTTCTTAATTATCTCGGCTTATCGAGCATTCGTCTTGTGAATTGACAGATAAAAACGTACGTATAAACGTACTTACCGGGAAATCGAGGCAAGTACACAATTTCGATGAGTTTTTGTCGCTGCAGATACGGGATAAGTATCGGTAAGTTTTTTTTTTTTTTTTTTTTTTTAAACGATGTGAGGTATCGCGAAACATTGCCGTAACTACCCGGCTAATTAGCATTCTAAAGCGGGCTTTGCCGTTTTTGTGCGTGACCGTGACGGTATTCTCGTAGTCTCATTAGGCAGCCAGTTCAAAAGAAAATGTGAGAGCGAGAATATATCGCAACATGAGGCTGGCAAATCCATAAATTAAGAGCATGCCGATCTTTCGAGCGGTCGTTCCTTTCGAAACGCGCACGACGCCGTTGGTATTATAATTACACCCGGTATTGTAGATGCACGCAAACGCATTAAGTTTACCGCATAAGGCAACAAAATATTATGTAGGGTAGTTTAGAAATATCGGAGATTGTTGCACACTGCTAAGATTGCGTCTAACGATAAAAATGAAACGCTCAATGACGAGATTGCTCGATTCATATGAAGTAAATCTTCCACGTGGAAATTTGAATGGATACTATATTTCATTTATAATCTTTCATATTCAATATTAAATATGTTAATTTTTAAATTAAGATCCTATATAATGAAAAATTCTATATAATTAAATTTTTGATTGGAATTTTATAACTGTAGATTAAATTAACCTACTTATTAATAAATATATAAAAAACTTAATTCGCGAAAAATTTTTAAATTTGTTATGATATACCAGATCGCGTTGGATCAATAATTAATACGCCAGCGTGCTGATTATATTTTTGCCGAATACCCGGAGGATATTATTACTCCTATATCAACCGCCTTTCCACATCGTAGTTCGATATACACTGACAATCTAATTTGACATGAGGCACAACGGAACGTTGTCTAGGCGCGCGCATAGAAGCGGGTTCTCACGACCCTGGCTCGATCCTGACTCCGTATCCCTTTCGGGTGTTCGATGTGTCACTTCTTCCATATATACATTATGCACGTTCGCGAATCGATACATATCGCGCAATCGAAAAAAGATTTGGCAATGGCAGCGGGGCGCGTGCCGGTTTGGCCATGGCCCCCCTGTGTCCGGAATCTAATTCGCGGTTCTCGCGGTGTCAAGAAGGACGTAGCCGCTATATCCGCGAGACGACGAGGCCCCCACTATAAGCAAAAGCCTTCGTATAGGTTATAAAGGACCGAGCACCGTACTATACGGCTGCACTCTCTCAGTGAAACTTACGGAGGACCGTTCCCCAACAAGTATTGGAATTTTATAACTGTAGATTAAATTAACCTACTTATTAATAAATATATAAAAAACTTAATTCGCGAAAAATTTTTAAATTTCTGTTATTTACAAGTTAAGACCTAATCGCTTCAATATTTTCGTCGAGGAATAAAAAGGCAATCGTAAATTGATGAAGAAAATCCGTATCATAAAATAAAGCTATGAGAAAATTGGGATACACGCCAAACTATTTATTTGCTTTCAACTTTCCCGTAGTAATCTAAAAAGAAATACATGAAAACCCGAATGCTAACCGAATGACATTCTAACGATGAAGAAAAACGAAAGTTTAAAGTACGAGCGCGCAAGGCTGATTAGTCCCGTAAATGCGAATCGTGGCTTGGCGCGGTTTCGCTGGCGAGATGGAAGAAAGTGAGAGCGATTAGAACTCCATGCGGAACGCAAGTAGATCTAGTAAGTGTGGTCAGCGTAGCGTTCAAAAGACAAGGGCACGTCCGACCATCGAACGGCATACCAATGCGTGCCCGACGCCCATACGAAATGAATCACGCGTTCGCTCTCGCATGTCGCAAAATCAATCGCCATGTATATATATATATAAAAGTATATATCGCACGATCATTATATATATATTTATATTTTCCGAGAGATGGATATATATATATTTATATAACACGGATTTGTTACGTCGAGAGCGCGCGCCGCGCTGCACTTTCAAATATTTGTCTTGGCGTTACGTGAGAACAATCGCACCGACCGTTTATAGCCGAGGTGCGAAAACAGCGTTCCCTCGCCTCGTTCTCACTTCCGGCGGATACCGCTCGCCGAGTAACCAGACGACAGGACGCCCCGGTGTCTTCTCCCGCGCGTCGATCGCACGCGCGAGATGTCCTCGCGCCTTCTCCTCCACT